TTACAGCGAAATACAGAACCCTAAGACTGGGGAAATTATTGGGAGGAGGAGGAGGAGTTAATGTCTGAAATGATGGAGTGGCATGGTAGTTTGGACATTTGGGACATCTTTGACCTCCGCCTCATGGGACCAGCCTAGTGCTGATCTATCTAAGAGAAATTGTTCAAGCAGTTGCCCAATGCATTAAGATATTTCTAGAAAATAATGGTATTTTTATAATTTATCAGTAGAAAAGGACCTCATGTTTGGTAGAGGGACAGCAAAAATGAGGGGAACTCTTAATGAGACAGATTGACCCAATAGCCACAACAATGGAGTCAAACATACCAATGATTATAAACATGGCACAGGACTGGCAATGTTTTGTTCTGCTATACATAAGGTTCCACCACTCCTCTGTCAGTTTGTCATACTGTGCTGGCTTGTGTGTTGCTATGAGGCTGGAGGCTATGCTACCGGTATATCAAATACCAGCAGGGTCATGTATGGTGGACAGGTTTTAGCAGAGCTTCCAGACTTAGACAGAATCAGAAGAAGGAAGGGGCCATCCACTTCTCAAAGAATTGGCCAGTGAAAACCTTATGAATACTATCTGATATATTACTGGAAAACTTTATGAATAACCCTGAAATATTGTCCAATATAGTATCAGAAGATGAGCCCTTCAGGTCAGAAGGCACTCAAAACGCGACTGGAGAAAAGCTACCTCCTCAAAGTAGAGCCGATCTTACTGATGTGGATGGAATAAAGCTTTTGGGACCTCCAATTGTTGATATGCCACAGCTCAAAATGGGAACAAATAGCTGCAAACATGCATTAATAATCAGAACATGGAATGTATGAAGTATGAATTTAGGAAAATTGGAAGTTGTCAAAAATGAAATGGAATGCATAAAGATTGATATTCTAGGCATCAGTGACTTGAAATGGACTGGTTTTAGCCATTTTGAATCAGATAGCCATATGATCTACTATGCCAGGAATGACAAAATGAAGAAGAATGGCATGGCATTCATCATCACAAAAAGTGTTTCAAGATCTATCCTGAAGTACAGTGCTGTCAGTGATAGGATAACATCCATATGCCTACAGGGAATCAGTTAATACTACTATTATTCAAATTTATGCACCAAACACCAAAGCCAAAGATGAGGAAATGGAAGATTTTTACTAGCTTCTACATCTGAAATTGACCAACCATGCAATCAAGATGTGTTAATTATCAATGATGACTGGAATGCAAAAGATGGAAATAAAGAAGAATCCCTGGTAGTTGGAAAATATGGCCTTAATGATAGAAATAACTCTGGAGGTCTCATGATAGAATTTTGCAAGACCAATGACATTCTTCGCAAATACCTTTTCTCAACAACATAAATGGCAGCTCTACACGTGGATTTCACCAGATGGAGTACACAGGAATCAGAATGACTACATCTGTGTAAAGAGGCAACAGAGAAGCTCAATATTTCTAGCCAAAACAAGGCTAGCAATTGACTGTGAAACAGACCACCAACTGCTCACATGCAAGTTCAAGTTGAAGCTGAAGATAATTAAAACAAGTCCATGGGAGCAAAAATATGACTTTGATTACATCCCTCCTGAATTTAGAGACCATCTAAAGAATAAATTTGATGCATTGAACACCAATGACCGAAAACCAGAGGAATTATGGGATGACATCAAGAACATCATCCATGAAGAAAGAAAAGGTCATTAAAAAGACAGGAAAGAAAGAAAAGACCAAAATGGAAGAAATGACAAGATAAAAGAACTGAACAGAAGATTTCAAAGAGCAGCTCAAGAAGACAAAGTCAATTATTACAATGAAATGTGCAAAGATCTAGAGTTAGAATATCAAAAGGGAAGAACATGCTTGGCATTTCTAAAGCTGAAAGAACTGAAGAAAAAATTCAAGCCTTGAGTTGCGATACTGAAAGATTCTATGGGCAAAATATTGAATGATGCAGGAAACATCAAAAGAAGATGTTAGGAATACACAGAGTCACTATACCAAAAAAAAAAAAAAAAAAATTGGTCCATGTTCACATTTCAGGAGGTGGCATATGATCAAGAACCAATAGTATTGAAGGAAGAAGTCGCGGGTGTACTGAAGGAATTGGTGAAAAACAAGCCTCCAGGAATTGACGGAATACTCATTGAGATATTTCAACAAATGGATGCCACACTGGAGGCACTTACTCATCTATGCCAATAAATCTGGAAGACAGCTACCCGGCCAACTGACTGGAGGAGATCTGTATTTGTACCCATTCCAAAGAGAAGTGATCCCACAGAACGTGGAAATTATTGAACAATATTATCAACATCATATGCAAGTAAATCTTCCTGAAGATAAGTTAAAAATAGTTGCCACAGTATATTGACAGAGAACTTCCAGAAATGCAAGCTGGATTCAGAAGAGGACATGGAATGAGGTATATCATTGTTGATGTCTGATGGGTCTTGGCTGAAAGCAAAGAATACCAGAAAGATGTTTACTTGTGTTTTATTGACTGTGCAAAAGCATTCAATTGTTCAAACTCAATTGGCATAACATACTACCCCAAAAATTGTCCCACATCCTACTTTGTTGTATAGCACCTGGGATCTTAAAAGCTTGCAAGTGGCCAACTAGATGCAACGATAGGTCCCCTCTCATCCAGAATAAAGAAGAATGAAGAAAACCATAGACACACAGAAACAATTAGTTCAAGGGACTGGTACACCATGCAATCCTCAGCCTCTATGACTATGAGACCAGAAGAACTAGAGAACTAGATGGTGCCTGGTTACCACTGTGAACTACTTGGAGGGGAATCTGTATAGGAGATCCTGGATAGAGTGGGAGAACAGTGTGAAACAAAACTCAAAATCATTAAAAAAAGAAAGGGACCAGATTTGCTAGTCTGAGAGAGCCTGGTGAAACCCCTGAGACTATAGCCCCTAGCTGCCCTTCAGGTCTGGAACTGAACCCACTCCTGTGGCTTCCAGCCAAGCAAAAGACAGGCATATGAGCTGAACATTTACATTAGGTAGATAAACTCCTTGGAGAGATCAATCATGGGAGAATAGAAGGGGCTAAGAACGCACAGAGAGACGGCTTGGGAGGCAGGAGTGCATGGGAGGGAAGAACACAGGGAAGAGGTGGCTATGGGGAGGAAGTGGGAGGAGAGCTATTGCGTTGTGAGTGATTGCAGTCAGTGTCATGAAAAAGTATATGTGAACTGCTATATGGAAGATGAATTTGCTCTGTAAACTTTCACCCAGATCACAACAAAATAAAAAAAAAAACGCATTAGATTGTGTGGATCATAACAAATCATGGATAACATTGAGAAGAATGGGAATTCCAGAACACTTAATTATGCTCATGAGAAACCCGTACATAGACCAGGAGGCTGTTGTTCGAACAGAACAAGGGGATACTGCATGGATTAAAATCAGGAAGGGAGTGCCGCAGGGTTGTATCCTTTCACCACACATTCAATCCATATGTTGAGCAAATAATCCAAGACGGTGGATTATATGAAGAAGAACGCAGCATCAGGATTGGCATAAGACTCATTAACAACCTGTAATATACAGACGACACAACTTTGCTTGCTGACAGTGAGGATGACTTGAAGCACTTACTGGTGAAGACTGAAAATTACAAACTGCAGTATGAATTACATCTCAACATAAAACAAAAATCCTCACAACTGGACCAATAAGCAGCGTCACAATAAATGGAAAAAAGATTGAAGTTGTCAAAGATTTCATATTACTTGGTTCCACAATCAACACCATGGAAGCAGCTGTCAAGACATCAAAAGGTATATTGCCCTGGGCAAATCTGCTGCAAAAGACCTTTTGAAGTGATAAAGAGTAAAGATGTCTCTGTGAAGAGTAAGGTGTGCCTAACCCAAGCCATGGTATTTTCAATCGCCTCATAAGCCCGTGAAAGCTGGACAATGAATAAGCAAGACCGAAGAAGAGTTGATGCTTTTGAGTTGTGGTGTTGGAGAAGAATACTGAAGTACCGTGGACTGCCAAAAGAACTAGCATATCTGTCCTGTAAAATGTGCAACCTGAATGCTCTTTGGAAGCGAGAATGGCCAGACTTTATCTCACCTACTTTGGTCATGTTGTCAGAAGGGACCATTCCTTGGAGAAGGGTATCATGCTTGGTAAAGTGGAAGGTCAACGAAAAAGAGGAAGGCCCCCAACGAGATGGATTGACACAGTGGCTGCAACGAGGGGCTCAGGTATAGCAAGGATTGCGAGGCTGGTACAAGACTGGGCAGTGTTTTGTTCTGTTATACATATGATCACTACAAGCTGGAGCCAACTCGATGGCACCTAACAACAACAACATATATATATAAGGCTAAGGAGCTCTAACAGCTCAGTGCCTAATGCATTTAACTGCTAACCAGAAGGTTGGTGGTTCAAAACCTACCAGCTGTTCTATGGAAGAAAGATGGGTAATCTACTTCTGTAAAGATTTACTGCCTTAGAAACCCAATGGGGGTCACTATGAGTTGGAATTGACTCAATGGTAGTAGGTTTGGTTTGGTTTTTTGCTATACATAAGGTTGCCATGTTTTGGAGTTGATTCCATGGCAATCAACAACAACAATATTAATATGTTAAACAAGCAATTGATTACTTCTATACTTTTCAACACTAAGTGTTGAACAACAATCCTTTTCAAGGTAGATGTTACTACTTAGGCGGAAAAGGGTAATAAAATTTTATTCTTTTAGCAATTATAATCAGTTCTTTTTACTACTAAGTGAATCATAGTCATTTGACAAACTTGAAGTTTAATATATTTAATAGACATGACTATATTCCCAAGCCTCCTTTAACCCAGTAAATTACATACCTCTGATTTTCTTGAGATACTTTAAGTTCCTTTGTATTCTGTTCTAGATGTTTCCGTGTTAGTTCCTGTGTTCGAGCTCTTACTTCCTTTTCTATTGCTGCTTTTCTAAACTGGTTGAAGAGCTCATCTGAGGATTTCAGTACACCTGATGTTTTGACTGGTTTGCCTAAACTTTTCCACGAGTCTGCATTCTTGATCTTTAAATCCTAAAATAAATGTTTGATTCAGTCTATATCTACAGATGTCAAAGAAATTTGGAAGAAGGACGATAATTTCTGATATACTAATATATCAAATTAAGTTTTCAAAGGTCCTCATGTACTTTTACTAAACTTAAGTTAAAGGTTATTAAAGTCAGAAAAACTAAACAAAACTATGAGAACATATAATCTAAACATAATTATTCATCTAAAAAACAAATAAAAGTAGTGTTGTTGTTGTTGTTGTTATGTGCTGTCAAGTCGGACCTGACTCATTGCGACCCTTCCTCGGATTTCTGAGGCAGTTTCACTATGGAAGTAGATTGCCTCATCTTCCTTCCAAGGAGTGGCTGGTAGGTTTGAACCACCAGCCTTCTGGTTAGCAGTCAAGTGCCTTAGGCACTACGCTACCAGAGCTCCCAATATCTTATTACACTGACTGGTTTATTCATTTCTTTAGATTGTCACACAGTTACGTACTACTTTTATTGTAGTATGATTGCTAATTATTTCCATTTAAAATCTATTAATTGTGTGACAATCTAAAGAAATGAATAAACCAGCCAGTGTAATAAGATATTTTTGACCCTGTAGAGAGGATAAATCATTAGTAAGATTATTCATGAGATGATTAATAAGGGACAAAGGAAGATTAGGTCATAAGAATAGCATGGTATTTGTTGAGAACTCCCTGACATGTTTTCCTTTCTGTGGTAGGAAAATAAATAAATAACTGTGACTGCTGATTTCAAACAAGATATGCCATGGTCTAGATCAGTACTGTCTAATGGAAATACATGAAATTTTAAATTTTCTAGTAGCCACATTAAGAAGTAAAATTAATTTTAATGTTTAGTTAACCTAATATTCCCAAATTTCAACATGTGATTAATATTAAAAACTTAAGATGTTTTTACTTCATACTAAGTCTTCAAAATCCAGTGTATATTTTACACTTACATTACATCTCCATTCAGATGCTGTATTTTGATAAGAAATAATTAATTAATTTGTATTTAGATTTCATAAAAGTTACAGTTGAAAAAGTAGATGTATATACCCAAGCTATTCCAAATATACTTAAGTTTTACAATGACTGAATTGAGTAGCAGTTTTTAAATTTACATTATTCAAAAATAAATTTTAAAAATTAGCTCCCCAGGTGCACTTGCCACTTATCAAAGATTTAATAGCCATGCATAGCTAGTGGCTATCATGTTGGACAAGGCCTTTCTAGGAGTTAACTTGCCTATCTGTGGCAAAGGAAAGAAAATTAGGGAATGCCTAAACGTGTTCTGTTGAGTTTTCTTTAAAAATTGTCTCCTTGAAAGTTCTGATACGATGGTGGGAACAGGCAGAAAGACTGCACAGACCCTCTTCAACAAAGAAAAGGGGAACCAATATTAACACAGATACCGAAGATAATCCTGGACCCCTGAGCCTTGAAGGGAAGGATATACAAGTGGACTAAACTCCAACTAGCAGAAGAATTTGCATGAAAACACCAAAAAAGGAGACATATGGAGCTGCGGTCCGGCAGCAATCCTGACAGCACAGACAGCTTGGATATTGCTGAGTGGTGTTAGGCCCTAAGAATTAACCTAAAAATCTGCCCTGCTAGCTAGGGACTGCACGGAGGACTGCTCCGGTGGCTGGTGAATAAAAGGGGAAGCAGCAAAGAGGAAGGTGGGCTGAGCTGTGGACTTCTGCCTATCCAGAGGGTATAGTCACTTTGAATGTTTATAAGCGGTTTGACCACTTTGGATATTTAAAGCGACAGTGTTCTCTCAGATTCCAGGGACTTAGCAACAGGCTCTACTTGCCGGGAACTGCAAGGACATTCTGGACCTGGACAACTGGAAAAGTGCGACATTCCCCTTGTTACTCTTATACCCAACACTCTCTTGGTGAACAGAGGTGTGGATATCCCTCACTGCCACCCACCTTCTGGGTTGGCAAGAATTCCATCCCAGTCTGCGAGCTTGGTCAGAGCCTGGGTGTCCTGTCCTGATTTTTTTTTCTGTTTTTTAGTTAGTTTGTTTTTGTCTGTTTTAAAACTACTACTATTATTATTGCATTTGTCCTTTTTACTATTATTCTTTATTGTTCGCCTCTCAGGTTCTCATTTTCAGCTTTTTTTCTTTTCCCTGTTCCTGGTTGCAACTTTTTTTCCTTCTCATAGTTAACCCCATTCCCAGTTTTTCTTTTTGCGTTTTTCTCATTTTTTTCTTCATTATTCTCCCTCTCTACCTTCCTTTTTTCTCTTACTGCCCTCTCTCCAGCTATTGTAGTTTTTTTTTTTTTTCCCCTCCTTTTTCCCTTTTTTGGTTACTGTTCTTGTGTGATTACATGGTGTATTTTTTGCCATTTGCTTTTACTTTTTTTGATGGCTATTTAATTGCTATTTTTGTCTGAGTGAAAGACAGCAACAGTCCCCATACGACACAACTACATCCACTCCTCCTCCAGCTTCACTTACTGAGTGAGAGCCACCACTTCCTTCCCCACCAATGGGCCAACGATAAACAACCACCAAGAAGAGCCTGACTCACCCTTGGCTACTTTTCACAAGCAGTTAACAGAGAGCTAAATAAAACAGTGCCATAATGTCTCGGAGAAAACAGACCATCACAGCCCACACAAAGAAGCAAGATAAAATGGTAGAAACAAGGGAGCAGGATACAGACCCAGAACACATCCCTGAGGAAGAAGCAGCATTGGAACTCTCTGATAAGGAATTCAAAAG